GGCTCCCTTTGGATGACTCTCGGAGGGAGAGTGTGGTGGTCCCTCTGGAACCAGAGGCCTGAACCCCTATCTCAGTTGTCCTGCCTTTTTGTGACCTTAGGCCACATATTTGACCTCTCTGGGCCACAGGTTCCCCAACCTGGGGATCATAGTAGCACCTGCTTCCTAGGGTTATTGGGTAAGTGTGCACACATTAAAAAAAGTCATTCAAAATAAATATTGGCTCTCATTATCATTCCCATTTGACAGCTGGAGAACTGAGGCAGTAAGGGGTGGAGCCAGGATGGGAACTTAGCCAATGCCTCTAACCACCCCCTGGCCTTGCCCTGCTCATGCGAGCCTTGGAGATCGCTGAGTCCATTTTCCTCTTGGGGGGATGGAGGCCAGGAGAGGGGAGTTGGATCTATTTTGCTGATCTCAAAATTCCTCTCAGTGGGAAAATTCTCTAACTCTGGGCTCTGGGATTAGAGGAAGGGAGGAGAGGGCATGGCTCTGGCCTCTCAGACTGACCCTGAGCACCCCTCCCCTGCCCAGGGCGGCCCTACACCCTGAGCGTGGCCCTGCCGGGCTCCATCCTGGACAACGCCCAGTCGCCCGAGCTTCGGACCTACCTGGCCGGCCAGATTGCCAGAGCCTGCGCCATCTTCTGTGTGGATGAGATTGTGGTGTTCGATGAAGAGGGCCAAGATGCCAAGTGAGGGGCCATCCTCACTTGGGTCTCTGGGGCTCAAGGAGGAGGGGACCTGCCAGGATTGGCCTGATTTCACCCTTTGCCCTGCCTCCTTGCCTGGGCTGAGAACCCTGCCTGCAATGCCCCCATTGTCACCCTGGTGGGTGGAGTTGAAAGCGGGGGCCCCGCAGAAGTCGGACTTGGGGAGGAGCTGTCGAAGGGAACACCAAGGCTCCTGAGCCTGTCTTTCTCTCCAGGACTGTGGAGGGAGAATTCAGGGGAGTTGGCAAGAAGGGACAGGCATGCGTGCAGCTGGCCCGGATCCTGCAGTACCTGGAGTGTCCACAGTAAGGGGGTGAAGGGCAGACTTCCCGAGCAGGAGGGAGGGGTGGTGGAGGCGCAGGTCAGGCCAGAAGTGGCCTCGCCTAGGAACTTCCTAAGCTCCGCCTCCTTTGCTAGGTACCTGAGAAAGGCATTCTTCCCCAAGCACCAGGATCTGCAGTTTGCAGGTAAGGCTGGGGGCCTGACTGACCCCCGTCTCCTGTGGATCATCCCTCCAACCCTGAGAAATCAGCCCAGGCAGGGCAGGTCCTGTGCCTGGTGGCAAGCAGCAGGTCTGTGGCAGAGCTGGCACTTGGACCAGGGTTCCCTGCCACAACCCTCAGGTGCTTTTGCACCCCCAGACTTCCCGGTCCCTCCCCACCACAGGGCTCCTGAACCCCTTAGACAGCCCTCACCACATGCGTCAGGATGAGGAATCCGAGTTCCGAGAGGGTGTCGTGGTGGACCGGCCCACCCGGCCAGGCCAGGGCTCCTTTGTCAACTGTGGCATGAAGAAGGTAGGATTGAAGGGTGGGTTGGGACATCCTTCCCAGACACACCCTGGCTACGGAGAACAGGCAGGGGCAGGTGACTGGGGAGCCCTGGATCAGGCATCTCCGCCTGCTGATCCCCTAGTAATGCAGATTTGGGCCAGAGAAGTGCCTAAAATGGGACTCTTGATAGATAAAGCCAGGAGCAAATTTACTGTTTTTTAAAAAGCAAATCAACAGGGCCAGCCCTGTGGCTAAGTGGTTAAGTTCACAGGCTCTGCTTCTGCAGCCCAGGGTTTCACCAGTTCAGATCCTGGGTGCGGACATGGCACCGCTCATCAGGCCATGCTGAGGTGGCGTCTCACATGCCACAACCAGAAGGACCCACAACTAGAATCTACAACTCTGTACTAGGGGGCTTTGGGGAGAAGGAAAAAAAAAAAAGATTGGCAACAGATGTTAGCTCAGGGCCAATCTTTAAAAAAAAATTTAGAAAAAAAAAAAAGCACATCAACAGAAGACAGACGTTGTGTTAAAAACAAAACAGAACCCCACCAAAGCAAGTTTAGACTCACTCTGGGGCTGCTCTCGTGAGGCCAAGCCGAGCTGGGGATTGGAGCATTCGCTTACCACCTGTTTACCCTCAAGTCTCCTAGAGTCGGAGGAGAAACATTTCAATGTGTGGGATCCCCTCCCCTCAAAGAACAGACCAGAAATAACTGGCTAAAAGCAGACCAGGATGACCCAGACACAAATGAAAGGGGAAGGGCATGAGAAACCCCCAAGAGGGAGAGAAAAGGCCCTATCCTGAGCTCACAGTCGGCACACCTCGAGAACGGCAGTTGTTACTCAGCACGACTCCCACGCATGAAGCGTTTACTTCTTGCCAGGCCCTGTGCAGCCTAACGACAGCTATTGTTTACGGAAGGTCTTCTGTCTGACAGATGAGGAACCAGGTTCAGAGATGTCAAGTGACCCGCCTAAACTCCTACAGCTAGTAAGTGGCACATAGCCACAAAAACATAGAAAAGTGGGATTTCATCTACTCAGGAAATATTTACCTCCTACTCCATGCCCAGCCTGGGCCAGTATCTTGTGGTCATTTTGCACGAATAGTCTCTTACGAGCAGATCTGGCCCAGGTGCCAGGGATGGGGGTGGTGGTGAAGGTTGGCCTGGACCCCTCAGGTCCCTCGCCAGCTCCACAGATCCCACGTCTGGGAGAACAGTGACTCCTGCTGGTCGTGCAGGGAACGGCATCACTTTCTTTTCCCAGGAGGTGAAGATTGACAAGAACCTGGAGCCTGGACTTCGGGTGACGGTGCGACTGAACCAGAGGCAGCTCCCAGGTGTCCGAAGGCTTCCCCTACCTGGCCGGCCTGAGGGCTTGGAGCCTCCTTCCGCTTTCTTGTCCCCTCACCCCGTCTTCACAGCCTCTCTGCTTCCCCTCCAGAAAGCAAGACCTACCGTGGAAAAGTTGTGTCATCACAGGACCCTCGCACCAAAGCTGGTCTCTACTGGGGCTACACGGTCCGCCTGGCATCCTGCCTCAGTAAGGACAGAGCTCCTCCTCTGAATAGCCGTCCTCTCTGTCCGGGAGGCCACAGAGAGCCTTGCTTGACCCAAAAGTCAGACCAAGGTCCTTTCCCTGCTAACTTGCTGTGTGTCCTTGGGCAAGTGCCTTTCCTTCTCTGGGCCTTGGTCTCCCTGAGTGCGCTGCCTGGAATGCTGTTAAGGACTTCTGAGGAAAAGTACCATGATGGATTAACGATGTCTGCCGTGGGATTGGGAATGGGGGCAAAAGGACCAGATGAGTCAGAGGTGCACTCAGAGCTATTCTCAGAGCTCCTTGCTATGCGCCCTCTGCATTATTTCCCCCATCTGGCACTGGCGTGGGCTCTCCCTGCTTAGTCCCTGCCTTCCCGGGAGCAGTGGAGAGCCTGAGGGTGGCCTGTTAACCTGCATCCCTCCCCACCCCCCCGCGCGTGCACACACACACACAGACACACACCCCCCCCCCCCCCCCCCCCCGAGTGGCTGTGGCTTGTGGGGACCAGGCCACCCACTGAGCTGGCCTCCCTAGGTGCTGTGTTTGCTGAGGCCCCCTTCCAGGACGGGTATGACCTGACCATTGGGACATCAGAGCGAGGCTCAGATGTGGCTTCTGCCCAGCTTCCCAGCTTCAGGTGGGTGCAGGCTGGGGCAGGGACGGGGGGCAAAGCTGTGCAGACTGGGCCTCTGCTGTGTGCAGGGGGCCGAGAGCTCTGGGGGCGGCATTCAGTGGGGCCTCGATGGGCAGTTAGTGACCCCCTCCTGTGGGTGCCAGGCACGCTCTCGTGGTGTTCGGGGGCCTCCAGGGGCTGGAAGCTGGTGTGGATGCTGACCCCAACTTGGAGGTGGCTGAGCCAAGTGTCCTCTTCGATCTGTACGTCAACACCTGCCCCAACCAGGGCAGCCGCACCATCCGCACGGAGGTGAGCCGCCCGCCTCCCCGGCCTCAGCTCCCAGCCAGGGGCGGGGGCCTTGGGGTCTGTCCGAAGGGGGTTGCAGCTCTCCCTGTCGTCACCCACCCGAGGCTGCCCTGAGCCGGCCTTCTCTGGGGGTGGTCTCCTCACCACCTGGGCCTCACCCCAGCTGACCCGCAGCAGGGACAGGATGCGGGTGAGCTGGGTGCTGGTGCGGGGCCAGCTGCTCCCAAGCTGGAAGACTGGGAAACCTGCTCATGCCTGCTCTGGGCTACGTTCCCTTAGCTGTTTGCCCAGTGTCCCACTGCCTTGTGTGTGACCGTGCTGGGCAGGGCAGCCTTCCTGCCAGGCTTCCCTGGCACCTCAGCCCTGTGGGGACAGTATGCAGCCAGCTCTGTGAGCCTTGGTCTTGGGCCTGTGAGCACTTGGCTGGGGAGGCTCTGTTGCTTCCATGGGTCTTAAAGGATAGTGACTAAACAGGTGGATGGTCCCAGTCTTCCTGTCCCCTAGGGCCCTGCCGGGGCCAGGTAGCTGTGAGCCTGTGAGCTGCACCCTCCCAGCAGGAACCCTGGCTCCCACCCTTCCAACAGCTGCACTGAGGGCTGTGAACTTCCTGCCCATCACCTCCCTGAGCTTCACCCTGGGAGGCAGGAATGATTAGGATCATCCCTGTTTGATAGAGGGGGAGACTGAGAAACAGAGAGGTGAGGCCCTTCCCAGCAGGGCACGCAGCCAGCCCGCAGCAGATGGGCAGCATGAAGCTGGGCCTTTCCGTAACCTACCAGGCGGCAGACCCCATGGGCTGGCTCCTGGGTGGCCTGGCACTGAAGGCAGCTGGGAGCCAGGGTGCCTGCCAGCCTCGCAGGCCCCAGCCCACTGCTGGGCTTCTCTTCCAGGAAGCCATCCTCATCTCCCTGGCTGCCTTGCAGCCGGGCCTCACGCAGGCAGGCGCCCGGCCCAGCTGAAGGTTCCGTCAGGCCCAGGACAGGAAGCAGCAGCGGAGAAGCCAGAGGTTCCGGCAGGTCACCTAGGACAGACACGGCCAAGACTCATCTCCAAAAATAACCACCTTTAATCTGACCCAGCCCCTAAGCCCCACAGTCTGGCTGCGCCGCCATCCTCACTTGCTGCCTGCAGTGATGGCCTTGACTCTGCCCGCCCTTGCCAGTATGTTTGGCACAAAGAGCAGCCCCGAGGCCCGCTCGATGCTCTCGATGGGCACCAGGAAGCGCTCCAGGGGGATGGCCTCATCCACGGGAGCGTTGGGCATCACATAGGAGCGGAGTTCGATTTGCCCGCCTGCTGCCTCCAGGATCAGCACCTTGAAGAAGTGGGTGGGCACCGCCACGTGGTTCTTGCCAATGACCTGGTACTTCATGTAGGACTTCCCGTCAGCCTCAGTCCTGCAGGCAGAACCAGGCACACACAGCCTTCAGGGCTCCCAGAGGGTCTGGTCGGACCCAAGGCCACCACCTCCAGGAAGCCTTCCCGGACCCGACCTCCACCTTGTGTCAACCTGCATGACTGGTCCTTCCACCTGAGGCTTCTGTGCCCTGCTTAGCTCCTAGGGGATGGGAGCTCCCTGCAGGGCAGAGATGTACTCTTACCCTGACTTCCTCGTGCTCAGCATGGGGTCAGGCAGGGTGGGTGGTAGCAATAAATGCTGTTGGAGGAATCAGGCCTTCTAAAGACTCGCATTCATCCCTATGGACATGCGATCACTGTCTGTTTCTCCCCGTGGAGAGTGAGCACCCAGTGGGCAAGGCTGGGAGGGCTGAATGTCAGCCCCAGCGAAGGGGGCCTGGTACATAGCGGTGCCCGAACACTGGCTGGGGGACTTCCCAGCCATAGGAGGCACTTGCTAATTCAAGGTTATCAGTGCCCCAGCCACCACCTCAGCCCTGAACAGGGTGACATCCGCCTTCGTACTTTGTCCCCTAAACAACCACGAGATAGATAACGGGCATCCTCCCTGTGTTGGTGGAGAGGACCTTGAGGTCATTTGCCCACAGTACGCAGAGACTAGGCAATGGGGCCTGGCTTCCATCCCAGGCCTGTGGACTCGGGAGCCAGCTGTTCTCCCACAACCCATTGCCTCTCTCACTCCTGTCTTCAGTGGCCCAGGGAAACCACAGCATGCCCAGAGGAGCTCAGTCCGTTCTCCCTGGGAGACGGCTGCAGAGGGACGAGCGTGAAGGCTCAGGGTCAGGAAGATGGAGTTCAAACCATAGCTCCGGGAGGAGGGTCGGGGGGTTGCTCCAAGCAGAGGAGAGACTGAAGGCAAGCGAGGTTGGTGCAGGGTTTCTATCTGGGAGAACCCAGGGTTGGGTGGATGTGACAAGAGGTGACGTAGGGGAGAGGAGCAAGGGCAGATTTAGGGCCTGATGCCCATGGGCAGAGGGGACAGGGTCTAGGTGGGCGCCCCAAAGGTCTCTGGCTGTGGAAGTAGAACTAGGCGGCCCAAGGCAGGGAATAGACAGACTTGCCAAGAAACCAGATGAGTGGTGACCTGGGAGTGGTGACACCAAGCCTGGGCAGGATTAGTGGCAGGAGGAGGCCTCTAGCGAGGGAGGACCCGGTGTCCCCAGGGTCCTCAGCTCTGGCCTCACCTGGGCAGGAATAGTGGCCCCGTGCAGACATAGACGTTCTGGTAGGTGCGGGTCAGGCTGCGGCTGTACTTCTCCAGGTTGTTCCAGGCGTTCTGGTTGAGGTGGGGCACCTGGTAGGAGAGGTGGGGCTCAGAGAACTGTGGCTGGGGCCTTTCCCCTCTGTGGGAGGGGCTGCCCCAGGCCCTGAGGGGTGGGCACTGACATCAAGCCAGGAGATTGGTGGGGGTGGGGGGGAGCATGTAGAGGAAACTGAGGTTCAAGGAAGGGGAGTCACTCTAGGCCATGTGGCCATGAGGGTGGAGTTCACACAGAGCTCAAGGGGGTGCTGGCTCGCCCCCATCTAGCAGGGGAGGACTAGTAGCCCAGGTCTCAAAGCCGTTTCTCAGCTCCAAAGAGCCATACGAAGGAGAGGGGCACATCTTTGAGAGAGAAACTGAGGCCTGCCCCAGCCCCCAGGGGCTCCTGAGAAGGCCAGCTCTCCCGACCATCTCTGCTTTCCTTTTCCCAGCCAAGCACTGCAGAGCGCAGCCGGGACTGTCGGGAATCTGCTTCTGACTCCATCACTTGGGCTCTCCAGTCCTCAGCGCAGTGTGAGTCAAATGCTCAGGGGGCTGTGCTGCTGGGAGCACAGAAGTCAGGTGCAGAGGCCTGGACCCTGCCGGCTTCACCCAGAGCCCCACATCAGTTTCATTCCACTGGTGACCGGGTCCTGCTGGGAACAGGGCTAGAGGTGGGGTGGCTTGTCCAGGAGCACAGTGACTGCTCCTAACAGCCGACTGACTGCGTGCCAGCTAACTTGCCTTTTACTCCTGGATGGCAGGCAGAGTAGGACAGTGGCTGAAAGCTCTGGGTCCCCTGGACAGGCTCCCTGGGTCTCCTCCCGCTGTGTGACACTGGGCCAATCATTTGCCTGTCTGAGCCTCAGTTCCCTCATTATAGTACTTTTGTATGCATTGTGTCTTCAGTTGTCAGCGCTACTGCATGAGATAGGTGAGTAAGTTTATCCCCATTTTACAGACAAGCTCAAGCTCAGGGAGGCCGGGGCGCTCTGTTAAGGCCAGACTGCAGAGCGGGTGCTCGCCCCCGGGCTCGGTCCCTCCCGGCCCTAGAGCGGGCGCCCGCAGCTGCCCATTCTGCAGAGGGGCGAAGCGAGGCTCCGCGGGGGCGCGCGGCCTACCTGGGGCGCGACGTTGCTCAGGTAGAAGGTGTCGTCCATGGCCTTCTGGCTCCAGCGGTGGTTGGCGGCGGCGGCGAGGTGGCCGCGGTCGAAGCCGCTGCCGCGGTAGTCGGCGTTGGTGGCGCGGTGGTAGGCGTGCACCGAGTCGTCCTCGCGGAAGTCGCACGCGCGGCGGTCGCCGTCGCCGCGGAGCCGCTCGGGCCGCAGCTGCTCGACCACCCAGAGCGCGCCGCGGGTGCGCGGGTCGTAGCACAGCACGTACGACTCGCGGCTCTTGAGCTGCACCAGCCCGGGCAGCCCGTACTTGGTCAGCTCGCCGGCGCCGCCGCCCGCCGGGCCCCCGGGCAGGGCGGGCAGCTCGGCCGCCGCCGCCACGGGCAGCACGGGCAGCCGGCCCAGCAGCCCCGGCGCCGCCCGCGCGTCCGCCCGCCGCCGCCGCCAGCTCTCGGCGGCCGCCCCCAGGCCGGCGCCCAGCGCCAGGGTCAGCCCGGCCTGCAGCGCCCGCATGGCCCGGGAGCACGGCCCTAGCGCGGCCCACAGCGCAGGGACCGCCGCGGCCTCGGGCGTCCGACCCGCCGGGCTCTTAAAGGGGCTGCGCCCACAGCTGGGCAGGGGCCGGGTCGGGGCGTGGGAAGGTGGGCTGTGCGTCCTCTCTCCTAACGCTCCCAAGCCCTTGGGGCTCCAACAGAAGCGGTCAGGACGGCCGAGCCGACCTCTCGGCGCCCTTTCTTTGCCCTTTTAAGAATCGGACCTCAGAGGCGAGGCACCGACCCCCCGGTTGGTGATTGGCCGCCGCCAGGCCCGGCTCGCCCCGCCTCGCCTCACGGGTCTCCGCGAGGGCCCCTCCTCCTCTGCGCTAACAGCGAGCGCGGAGAAAGCGTCAAGTACGGGTCTAAAGTGCTTCCATCACTGTTTAATCCTCAAGACCCCGAGGGGGAGCTTCTAGTTGGCAGAACAAGGACAAGACCCCAGGTCTGTCTGACACCAGAGTCTATCCTCCTAACCATTCACCATAAGGCAAAAGTTCCAGGACCCTGGCAAACATTTTAACACCCGGCGTGAGGACAATGATGCAGCGGTGGATGCTCATTGCTGGTTGGAACAGAAACCGGTACCAGAAAGCAAGCTCAGAGTGTATGAAAAGCCTTAAAAAGGCTCATACCTTTCAACCTACCTAGAGAACTGAGCTGGGGAAATAAATCGAGAACACAAGGCTTTGGGGGCCACCACTGATGCAGCGGTTAAGCTCCCACATTCCACTTTCACAGCACCGGGGATTTGCCGATTGGGATCCTGGGTACAGACCTACACACTGCTTATCAAGCCATGCTGTGGCAGGTGTCCCACATATAAAATAGAGGAAGATGGGCATGGATGTTGGCTCGGGGCCAATCTTCCTCAGCAGAAAGAGGATTGGCGGCAGATGCTAGCTGAGGGTTAATCTACCTCAAAAAGAAAAAAAAAAAAGAATACAAGGCTTTCAATCACAAAATCTTCCCCACAGTATTACTTATAATAGAGGCTGAGGAATAAGCAAAATATTAACAAACAGGTACTAGTTCCAGACATTTTTAGCATATTACATAGAATAGTATATAGCCCATAAAAATATTTTAAAATCATACAGCAACTTGCTCACCACCTAACATGATGGAGGAGACAATACACAAAACTACGGAATACGAAAATGACAATGTAACAAAAATTACACCTGCGAAGAAGACAATGTTATCAGTGATTTTCTCCAGATTGTGGGGTAGGAGAGACTTGTTTTATTTACAAGTCTTTGAATTTTCAATCTAAAAGACTACTTGCTGTATAACCGTGTACGTAGCGCCTTCGTCCCCAGCCCAGTCTTCCTGCCAGCTGCAGACTGCAGTGGGTGGTGGAGAAGAGCTGAACAGGCTCTCCCAACAGGAACTTCCCGGCCTTGCTCTTAGGCCACCCTGAGAGCCTCCCAACTCCTTCTCTGCTCAAGCTTTCTTCTCCCTGCTCTGAGGTCTCAAAGGTGTCAGCTCATCACAGCACCAATGCCCATTGCAAAGAACACATGATTTATTAAAGACAACTTGTCATCAACAGCACTGATTTAAGAACGAAACTGATGAACGAACAGAAGCAGACTAACGTTCCGACCCTCTGGAGTGAGACTGCTGAATTCAGCCAGCCCCATCTGTAAGGGTCCAAAGTCCTGGGGGCAGCTCTCCAAGCAGGAAGCCTCAGGCACTCTGGCTCTCTGGGGACCTCCCTGGAGAGTCTGGGGAGGGGGATCACCTAGGGCAGGTGCTTTCCTCAGGCAGGATCCCAGTGGGGAGCTCAGCCTAACCTGGACACGTCCCTGTGCTCCTGACCTTCAACCCAAGGTCAAGAAGGCACCGGGCCCAGGTCTGACTGAGGCAAATTAGACGCAGTGATTCAAGTAGTGTGGCCCCAGGAGGGAAGGCAGGGGTCAGGCGAGAGGGAATGCATCAGGTGTCCTGGGCAGTGTCTGCTGGGTCCCAGGCTGTGGCCCGAGCCTCAGGCTGTGAAGGGGTCAAAGTTGGGAGCGAACAAGTTCTGGGAAGAGGGTGAGCCCGGCCGGTGGGAAGGCGTGTCTCTGCCTCGTGCCTGGCTCTTGAAGCCTGGTAAGGATACCAGCTCTCCTGTCTCCCTCACACTTAGCGCCAGTAGAAAGCTCAGAGCCTTCGTGGACAGGACCTGCTGGAAAACCAGGAAGGTCCCAGAGGCAGGGGGCGGGATGCCGACTCTGACCTTGGAAGGGAGGTCAGACCGCGTCTCCAACTCCTTTCTGCCTTCCCAGCCCCACCCTTTATCCCCAAGCCCAGCACTTGCCAATCTGCAATAAATAACCAGGAGTCTAAATAAATAGTAAAAATCTCCCAAATACCGTGTGTTGGGAAAGGAGGCAAAAAGGCAAGTGCATGAAGTCCCCGAAGCACCCAGGGCACAGCCTGGCAAAGGAGCCACCTGAGAGCTGTTCCAGGCCCACAGCCTGGCCAGCGTGGGCAGCAGGAAGTCCTGGCTGCCAGACTCAGGAAGGCTTTGGGGGAAGAGGGCCCTGCTGGCCAGTCTGAGGAGAGGTTTAGGACCCTTGCTACGTTACCCAGCCTTCCAGACCCAAACCACCAGCCTCCTCACAGAAGGAGGGGACTTGGTCAGAATACGGCCACTACTCCAACAGCCCAGCAGCGGGAGTAGCCAGCTGCTCCTGCTCAGAGGACATTTGCCCTAAATCCTGGGACAGCCCAAGCAGGTGACCAGAGACAGGCCAGCATCCCCTGCAGCCTGCTTGGGGGAAGATGCGGCTCTCCTGGCACTGCCAGGATCCAGGGCCTTTGAGCTCAGCTACGCCCAGTGCAGGGAGGCTCCCTTGGGTCCCACTTGCCCTTTATGGGACTCACCACCCTGGGCTGAGACCTGGAAGCCATGAGAATCACTACTCTTCCCAACCCCTGAAACACAATCACCTTCATGTCCTTTTCCTTTGGGAGAGAAGGGCCTTTTGGGGACTCTCTGGGAGCCCCAGCTCCCCCTCTTCTCCCTCCCCCATCCCTGGGCAGAGAGGAGGGGAAGAGGCTCAACGCTTCACGGGCCATCATTTCCTGGCAGCTTTTGGTTTCCAGATATGTCATGGGGAGCAGATTCAGGGCGCTCCAGTGAGGCACTGTGGACGCCCTCCCAGTCTGGGGGACCTGGGCGCCTAGGACTGGCGGAGGGGAACGGGGTGCAAAGGCCAAGGTTGACCTCCAGGGGCTTTGCTGAGCCAGACTCCTCATTCTGTCTCCAGGGTTCACAGGAGTGGAAGGGAGGAGGGAGAGGAAGAGGCTGGGGATAAGGCACCCCAAGAGAGAGGGGCAGAGGGAGAGCAATGGAGAGAGGAGCAGACAGAGCGAGAGTCACATACACCCTCTGTGAAAGAGGCGGAGGGAGAAGAGAGGGAGACAGGCAGAGAGAGGGAGAGAGACAGAGGAGGAGAAGCAGAGACCTAGAGGGATGCAAGGTACCTCCCCTCCCTCATACACACACACACACACAGAAGCAGATACCTGGGGATGAACAGACACACACACACCAACTCATGACTATAGACAGACAGTGGGAGGGGGACAGAGGGTGTGACCTGGGCCAGGCAGCTTCTTAGCTCCTTCAGTGTCACCTTCCCCATGGAGAAGCCTAAGCACCAGCCCCCAGAAGTGGTTTCTGGCTCATTTGCCAGAAACCCGAGAGAGCCCAGAAGAAGACCAGAGAGGAGAGGAGGAAGGGAGCAGCAGAGCAGAGGCAGGGAGGGACCCTTGTCAGCCCCCAGTGCCCCCAATCTGCCCCAGCCCCAGGAAACAACTTCACAAGCTCCAGCCTTGCTTGGCGGCCTGGGCAAAGGGTCCCAGGGTGGCAGGGTGAGGAGGGAGCCAGGGCTCGGTGGTCAGAAGGAGCATGGCACAGTGTGCCCCGGTGGGAACGGCATAGAGTGGGGAGGCCTGGAGTAGGCCACTCCTGCAGCTTCCTCTCAGGCTGGGATCCCACAGGCATCTGCGTGTCCCAGAAGCCAGGGCACAGGGGTCGGCGGCTTCTCTTCCAAACCCAGGCCGCTTGCTGCCAGGCTACTTTGAGTCTTGGAGTTCCTTGGCTTTCTGTAGGATCTGGCAGACATCTGTGATGGGGTAATCCTGGGCATGGGAAAGGCCACCAACATGCCTCTGAAGTCAGCTCACTCTGAAGTTTGCCACTTGTGCCACACCCATGCCCTTCCCACGGGGACTTGTCATCATGCTGGACCCTGAGCCTCAGGGACAGAGACCACAGGTTACCCGACACCTGCATTCTGCCCAAACCCCTGCACGTAGCTAACACTACACCCACTGCGGCACTAACATAACCAACCCAACCAGTGCCACCTAAAGGGTCTCACGGCCCCTTCCTTAGGACCAGGGCCACACCGCCTCATCTCTCCCCACCTCCCGCCATCGAAGCCTGAGCCCTATTCATAATGAGTTTGGTACTGGCCGGACACTGTACATGCATTAGCTCAGTGGGTCACCTCAAGAGTCCAATGAGAAGGCTACTGTGACTATGCCCACTTTACAGATCTGGTCAATCAAGTCACTGAAAACCAACCCCAGGACAGGCAGTGGAAGAAACTGAGGGCTAGAGAGGTTGTCACTTGGCTTAGGTCACATGACAAGCATAGCAGAACAAAGATGTGAAACCAAAGCTGTCTGACTCTTGAGCCCACATTCTTAACCACCATGCCCTACGCTTTCCTTCTCCAGGTCTGAGCACGGTTACTAGTGAGCACTACCACGTACTGGGTGCCACTGTGTCCCAGGGAATCTTCACTTATGCAGAGCGCTTTGTTCAGAGAGCCCAAGTCATCCACTCAAGACCACACCACACTCAAGCGGCAGAGCCGGGATTCAAACCCAGATCTGCCTCAGGGGCCGGGACTCTTGAGCCCTGCGACCCTCTACTGTTCCTGACCCCAGCCTGTCACAGCGGCTGGCATGAGGTAGGTGCTTGGTAAGTGTCTTCCTCTCAACTAAAGACTGAGCTTCCCCTCCAAACTCCATTACCTGCAGGAGCCGCATGTTCACTGTAAAGTCCCCTTCCAGCAACTGGTCCCGGATCAGTCTAAGAAAAATAAGCAGGGCCGGCCCCGCGGCCGAGTGTTAGGTTCATGCGCTCCACTTCGGCGGCCCAGGGTTTTGCTGGTTCGGATTCTGGGCACGGACCTAGCACCGCTCATCAAGCCATGCTAAGGCAGTGTCCCACATGCTACAACTAGAAGGACCCACAACTAAAACATACAACTATGTGCTGGGGGGCTTTGGGGAAAAGAAGGAAAAAATTAAAAGTTAAAAAAAAAAGCAGCAGCCTAAGCACTGATTGAGCCCTTGGGCTGCCCGGAGGGCAGCAGTTGGCCCCTTCCCACCCCTTCCTCACCACCCACAGCAAGTCTGGTCTGACACCCACCCGAGAGCTCCAGAGGCTCACTTCAGCCTCCAAAGAGCAGCCCCTGCCCGCCCCTCTGCCCGCGGTCACACTCACATGAGCATGGCACAGCACACGAGGAGGAGGAAGTCAAAGCGGCTGTCATCGGCAAAGAGGGAGTCCCAGATCCGGATGACGTCAGGCAGCAAGAACTCCTGGGAGAGCAGCAGCGTCAGCCAGCGGAAGGCGAAGAACTGCGGCTTGATGTTCTGCTCTTGCTGGGGAGACAGAGGCGAGGAGCAGGGAACAAGAATCCGTGTCGGTTGGTTGCCATGTAACACCATGCAGCCTATCAGACGTGAATTCAGATGAGCAGCAGGCCAGGTGTGAGTGACAGGCACACCAACCGTGGGGAAGGCACTGGGCCACCTAGACAGCCTCGTTCGTTCAGTTGAAGTGGCAACTGCTGCTTGCTGCCAGCCAACATCAGTTTTTGTGGGTTTTTTTTTTTTTGAGGAAGATTAGACCTGAGCTCACATCTGCCACCAATCCTCCTCTTTTTGCTGAGGAAGACTGGCCCTGAGCTCACATCCGTGCCCATCTTCCTCTACTTTATATGTGGGACGCCTAACACAGCATGGCTTGCCAAGCGGTGCCATGTCCGCACCCACGATCTGAACCGGTGAACCCCGGGCCACCAATGCGGAACATGTGCGCTTAACCCCTGTGCCACCAGGCCGGCCCATTGTCAGATCTTCTGATTTTTTAAGAGAAGCTATAAACCCAAACTTTTATATAAGCTCTCTAGATTTATAAATGATGGCTCAAATTCTTTTAAAACACTGTACAGATTACAACCTTGGATTTATGGACAGACATAAAGACCATTAATCAGACACTTAGAACAAGCCTGGCCTTGTGCTTAGCATATTAGATATATTAGCCCACTTACTTAACTTCATGGAACCCCGCGAGGCAATTGTTCCCCAAAGAGATGAACCCTCTGGATGGCCAGAGTGACTATTATTAACTGAAAAAGCACGTTACACAACAGCAAAATCATAATTCCATACATGTTTAAAAAGACATGTTCACATGCTTATATCTTCTTGTCCACAAAACTGTTTTTGTCTATATATAAATAAATGTTTTTACTTAACTAGTTTCCAAAATAAACATGGAATGCCATTACAATAATTTTTAAAAACTATTTCTAATAATGAAGTTCAGGGACTGGCCTAGTGGCATAGCAGTTCAGTTTGCACACTCCACTTTGGTGGCCCAGGGTTCGCAGGTTCAGATCCTGGGTGCAGACCTACACAGTGCTCATCAAGCCATGCTGTCATGGTGTCCCACATACAAAACAGAGGAAGACTGGCACAGATGTTAGCTCAGAGCCAATCTTCCTCAAGCAAAAAAAATGAAGATTGGCAAGAGATGTTAGCTCAGGGCCAATCTTTCTCACCAAAAAAAAAAAAGAGAGTTTCATATTTCTTTTCTCAGAGGACTACCAAGAGACTAAACTAATTCAGCATATGGTAAAGGCCATGCATTGTGCCCAGCACACAATGGGCACCATACAACCTCCCCTTCACTCCTGGCCTGCTAGGCTCCCACCATCTGCAGCCTCAGTCTCCCAGTCCCGTCTCAGCATGGAGGTCAGCGCTCCCTAGCAGTAGCAGCCACTTTCAATCACCAGACTCTAGCCAGACCTTGAGGGCCCTGGGCCTGAGATGCTCAGGAAGCCTGCTACCCTTTGCCCCTTTCCGTCTGTCTGTCCTGGCCCATGGGGTCCCAGGGTCCTCACCAGTTTCAGGTAGAGTTCCACATCCTTATCCTTCAAGGTGGAGTAGACCTTTTCCATCTTGTAGGTGATGCCACATTGTGAGTCATCCAGGCTCTTGATGAAGTTGTCCCGGATCTCAGCCATGAGGTTGGTAAAGCAGAAAAAGGTGTCTGCCTCAGCGTGCTCTGGGTGAGACGGGCAGGGTGAGGGAGCCGCAAGGGAAGTGGTGTTCTCCCGAGGCCCACCCCATCTCTCACCTATGCGACACCTCCTCCTCACCTCTAAGCCTCGCCAAGTCACCTCGCCCTCATGGACAGGCTCAGTCCCTCCTCTGTCCTTGACCACTCTCCATCCCTAGACTAAGGACATCACTTCTTTCTTCTCATATCTTCTGGCAACACCATACACTCGCTTAGCCAGTGATTACATGTACTTCTGATGACATATTTCAAATCATTATTCACTTAAACTCTTTCTATCATTCAGCTTCCGGTATATATATCTCATCTCCTCTACCAGAAATTCAGTTACAACTATCAAGAGATCAGTGAACTTCCAACATTCTAGAAAGTCCAAGTCAGAAAGGATCTCAGAGACAATGCAGGCCAACCCCATCATCTGACAGCGGGAAAATGGGGGGCCAGAGAAGGGAAGTGAGCTGCAGTCTGATGAAGCCCATTAGCCAGCTTTCCTTGGTCCATTTTTCTAGGGAGGCAGCAATGAGGGATGTGGGCAGCCAAGAGCCCTTTTATACCTTTCCACTCGCTGTTGGGGTCAGTGGCAAAGGTATAGTAGAGGGGCCCCACGATTTCATTCATGCCCTGCACGTAAGCAATGCCAGGGTTGAGCTTGGCGTAGATGAACAAGATCCGCTCCACCACCTCCCAGTGGGCCTCGCAGCCGTTGGGCAGCACCTCGTACTCATTGAGGGCCGAAGGCGTAGAGTTCTTGTGTGGGGAGCTCATCTGCGGGAGGAGGGGAGGAGCCCATTAAGAAGGTGGGTGGCATTACGGACAGTATGTTCTCACCAGAAATGTTTACCATTAAAGCTAAACTTCACTTCCAGCTTGTGGGAAACGCAGGGCAGAGAGGAACACGTCCAATGCCACCAGGAAGAAACAAGCAGACAAATCCAGAACGCAGGACACCCTAGCAGATAGCTGGACTAAAGTCTAATTTGTGGTGATAAAAGCCAGAAGTGTGCTTACCTCTGAGGTGAGGGGGAGTGAGTGGGAAGGGGCATGAAGAACGTTCTGGATGATGGAATGTTCCGTGTTTTGATCTGGTTGGCAGTTATACAGGTGTATACATGACAAAAAGTTCATCTAGTGGTATACCTAAGATTTGTGCATTTTACTACATCTAAGTTATACTTCAATTAAAAAATAACTTTAAATATGTCAAAAACAGAAAACTGGTCAAGACTCTTCAAAAAGTCAAATGTTGTGGGGGGTAGGGGAGAGTCGAAGCCTGCTCCGGATCAAAGGACTAAAGAAATGTAACATCCCGATGCAACGCATAAACCTCGACTGCGTCCTGGTTTGGAAGCAAAACAACAAAAATATTCTTGGCGCAACTGAGGACACCCGAGCAGGGACTGGACGTTAGGCGTTTCTATGGAGTTACTGTTAATCGTTAGAGATGTGACGGTGGTGAGGAGGAAGACTGTCCTTATTCTCAGGAGATGCCTGCTGAAGTACTTGGGGTTAAGGGTCAGGCCATCTGCAACTTACCCTCCACCTCTGTACAATATACACACAAATACAGCAAAAGGTTAACAATTGTTGAATTTAGGTGGAAAGTATACAGGTGTGCACTGTACTCTTCTTTCAAATTGTCTGAATCTTTCAAAATTTTCATAAGAAAAAGTTGGGAGATAAATAAAGAGATGATGATCCCAGCTAAAAACTCATGCAATAGAGCAGAGGTCCCCAACACCAGCTGCCCATCAGGACCCCTCGGGAGCTTTGTGAAGATTCAGGTGCCTGGGGTTACCTGTATGAGAGCTACAGGCAAAGCCCGGCAGGGACAGAGCGTGAAGCTGTCCTGGAAGCACAGGGCCCTGAAGACAGTAAACTCCTTTTCCCATTACATACACACATGTATGCATATACATACATGTACATGTGCACACATAGACACACACATCGTTAACATTTACCAAGAGCTTTCTAGGTACAAGACAATGCTCTACAAGTATTCCTTCATTTAATCCTCTGAACAACCTAGCTTATCCTCTCATCATTTTCAAGATGAAGAAACTTGCAACGTTAGGCTCAGAAATGTTAGGTCACTCGTCAAACGTCTTGAATTAAGCGGTGGCACTGAGATTTGAACACAGACTGGCTGACTCCAGAACCTGAGGTCCAGGCCTCAGAGAACGCCCAGTGCCTTCCAGCTTTCCAAGAATCTGCACAGCCATGACCTCATTCCATCCTCTTGGCAATTCAAAAGCCAGCAGGACAGAAATGATGTGCCCAGTTTCCAGAAGAGGAGACGGAGGTCCAGGAAGGTGGGCCTGCTTTTACTTGCCCAAACAGAAGGTCAGCTTTAACTCAAACTGCCCACTCACGAGTCCAGAGGTCTAGGGACGAAGTTTGTGATCAGCCTCTCTGCCACCAGAACCAGGCCTACATCTAAAATAGAGAAAAGCTCAGTTCTCAGATCCCCATTACTGTAGTGAAATGAATGACAGAAACCAGGTCCCCACCTCGCCCTGCAGCCAGAACCTCAGAAGCCAGCTAAGAGGGCTGCCCACACAGCAAGCCACTCAGTCACCCAGCCAAGCATTCTGTACCTCCCAGACACCCAACTCTGTCCTAGGCACATGGAAACCCGGACATTAGCTGTCATTGTCCTTGTTACCCCCGTAGCGGAGAATGGCTGCTCTCCTAGAGAGAGGGCCTTGATCAGTCATTACACCGAGGGAAAAGCTTCAGCAGGAGTATCTGTCTCTAACTGGTGAGAGGTTGGAGGACAGTGACAAGTTCTGAGGAACAAGTCAGAGTGCAGATACCAAAGCAGAAGGTCGAAGTTAAGGAATAAAATGTACTTGTTTGGCTCCAAGCGGCTTCTCAGAATTACAGGAATCTGCTGGAAGACTGGACTACAAGCACTCAGCAGGACGGGGCGCACAAATCCCATCAACTCTACTTCCTAAGCCTCAGGTCTATCCCCGCTCTGCCCCAGCCCCAGGCCCCACCTACCCGTGCCTGGACAATGGAGCCGCCTCCCAGGTGGCCTCTCCACTGCCATTCCTTCCCCCTCCAATCAAGTGTCCCCACAGGGCCCAGAGCAATCTTTTACAGAGTGAACCTGAATCACGTCCCGGCCCTGCTAGAACCTGCAAAGGCTCCCTAGGCCTCAGGATAAAGGCCCGGGCGTGCCCTCACCACCACCCAGACCTTCCCTCCTCCTCCCCTTCCCTCTGTCTCTGGCCATGCAGGACTCCTCTATTCCCTGAACACACCACACTTCTGCCTGAGGACTTCCACATATGCCTTCTTTCCCACCTGAAATGCTTTTCCTTCCGAGCTCTTCAAGTCTCAGCTTAAATGTCACTTTCTCGGGGAAGTCTTCCCTGATACCCAGACCAGGCTAGCTCCCCAGCCCCATCACTGCTCCCATCACTTTCTCATCACACATGTCATCACTCTCTCAAGAGACATTTCTACCAGAGGACTCAGAGCGCGCAGGGCCCTCCCCGTGGCACCCATTACACCCAGCCTTCGATACCTGACTTTCAGAAACAGCCCCAGAGGGGGACGTGGCAAAACCAAGGTTGCTCTGGGTAACTATCAGGGCAGACGGTCACGGGCCCAGTGGCCTGTGGCCGGCAGCCTAAGGGAAGTAGGAAGGAAAAGGCTATCACGGGGCCCCCAGGTTGCCTCTCACGTTTGTGACCCCACTCCGGTTCCGGGCCACTGTCTGGGATTTCAGCGTTGTCTGTTCCACCCGCTTACGAAGGGTCTCAAACTCATTCTGGGGGTCCAGGATGAGGAGGCAGGGATACTCGGTGGCCCTCTGAAAGAAGGATATGTCTGGGCACAACCTCCTGTCAAGAGGGAACAGGACAGAGGGGTGTTACTCAGGTGGAGGTTTGGGCATTCCATGAGCATCCTGCTGCCAGGTGTCCCAGCAGCCCAAAAAGCAATCTTCCTGTTGTTGGTTTTTTTTAATTAATGACATTTTATTTAAAAAAACAATATAGTTTCTAAAAAGCAATATAGTCATTGTATATGTATACATACCCATGTTCTTAAATGTATTTACAAATAGATAAACACATATACATTTACATGGTTTTTTTTTTTAGTGTCTTTATGGTCTCAGAATCTAACTCTTCTCTTAAACCACAAACGTCTTTCCATGTCAAAAATATCTAACATGTACAGGAGTGCTAACTGTAGTGTGGTTTGAAATGATAAGAGAGGTCTGGTTAAGTTACACATTATACAACAGAATACTACACAGCTGACACGGGAAGATGTCCAAGACGGAATGAGAGAAAAAAAGAAAGTTGGGAGACAGTCTCTAGAATGTGGGCAAGTTTTTAAAATATACGTGCTACAGTATATGCACATTTTTCAGATTTCTGATCCACAGCACACTGCAAACTTGCCCTCTATGAACACTGAACCACGTGCTACAAACACTGCCAGTGTAAGACAGAACCTGTTTCCTCAGGACCCGGTGAAGATGTGGTTCTTGACTTACACAGGGCCGTTACAACACCTCGTGGGTAGAGGCTGCCCCAGCACCAGCCTGAGAAGGAAGGAGGCGAGAGCCCCCTTCTGCATCCCTGCTGAGGTGCTTGGGGCTGGGTTTCCACCAGGGCCATCTGAAGCTGGGCCCAGGCAATGAGCAGAGGCAGAGGGGCAGCACCCAGGTGGTGAGGGGCTGGAAACACAGATAATGACTGGGTGGGTGGAACCAAAACCAGGCGGACGCACTCCAGAACCCACGCTCTAACCACAGGGCTCCACCGCAGACAAGGGCTTCCTATAGCTCCTCAGCCAGCCTTGCGGGAGACTGCCCGCTGCCAGACTCACCAAGACAACAGGATAGCACAGCCAGTGTCCCCACATTTCTCTAAAAGTGGAGAAGCAAGCACATGCACACCAGAGCTCACACTTTTTTAAAACACACATCTGATCCTGTCACTCCTGTGCTTAAAACTTTCACATGACTGCTCCCCGTCCTTGTGATCAAGTTCAAGGCCCGCCCTGCCCCCGCCCCAAGCGTGGCGTTAACCACACTAGCCATCACACCGCTCCTCAAACGTGGGCTCTCAGGCCTTCCCGGGCAGCTCCTCGCCCACCACAGCCTTTCCTCCCTCTTCCTGAGACTTCTCAGATGTCAGCTGAAACACTGCCTCCTCAGGCGAGGTTTTCCCAAACGCCTCGAAGCACCCTGAACTCTTCCTGCACAGCCTTTACCACAAACGTGAACTACACAGAACTATTTGCTTAACGTCGGACTTCCCATCTTCCCCCCTAGGTTCTTAGTTCCTTGAGGAGAGAGACCATGTCTGTTTATTCTGTGCTCAACTCTGAGCTTGGCCGTGAGCATGGCACATAGTAGAGCTGCAACATTTGTGGGAATGACCAGATGAATCCATAACGCCCGGGGCACAACAAACTAAGGCAAGGAGACAGGAGAGCCAGCCACTCGCTGCCCTCGCCAGCCCCACTCTCAGCTTGTCATCACTAGGACCTGGACCTAACACGGGGACAACCCACCCACAGTTCCTCAAACACCCTCCTATGGGCCTGGCAGGGAAAGGGAAAGGACAGAACTGGGAAACCCCCCCGGAAGTCCCATGGGCCAGCTCCCAGGCCCCAGGTGCCCCGCCTACCGGACATCCTTGTCAATCTGCAGCAGCACCTCGTTGTCCTTGAAGTACGTGTTCCACCGGCTGTCAGGGTTGGGGTTGAGTGGCTGTGGGAAGAAAAGAAGCTGCGCTGTCCTAGGCCCAGCTAGGGTCCCAGGGGCATGTACCAGCTGGAGGCCTGAGCAGCGGCCCCGCACCAACAATCCCCCCAGAGGCCCAGCTGTGGCTCAGACAGCCTATGAGCAACTCGAGGAGCAACACAGGCCTCCCACAGCCTCCCAAATCACATTCCAACTCCACAGCCAGCAGGCGAGCCAGGCAGTTTGCTCTGAGTACACCCCTGCTTGGAGGGGACTGTCCTTTCCGTCCACTGCTGTAGCTGTAGGACGCTGCCTATAACAGGTGCTCACTAAACGCCTGTTGAATGAATAAATGAATGTTGCATCATTAGGTCTCTTCGAATCTAACTCATGAAGGCTCTGAGTCGCCAGTTCCAATCCTTGGAGGACCGGTCTGGGTCCAACCCACCTCCACTCCCTGCACCGTGAAGCCCCAGGGAGGAGCTCAGTATTTGAGGGCAGAATGAGGCTTCCTCCAGGCCACAGAAAGGCAGTTTATCCTCACTGCCACCTGCTCTTTCTTCAACTATAAGATCACAGAACCTTCCTTAAGGAACAGGGATGAAGAGGAAACGGGGACAGGGGAGCCGGCTCAGTGCTGCACACATAGCTATCACTTACATTCCCAACCGGGCCTGGGAGAAGCGGGTAGACAGGGCCTTCCGGGCCTGAGCAGCTGGATACAGAAAGGAGGGACTGGAAGGGTCAGAGGGGCCCAAGACCAGCTGCACTTGTTCTCTGGGGTGGGGGACGCTGCCTGCTACAAAGCTCGCACCTCTCCTCATTCTGTAGCCTCAGGCCCCGATGCCTACCCCTACTCACATGGTCCTCAAAGGTCACATCCTCCCTGGACGCACCCATGTTGGCCTTGGCAATGCCGGGCTGGATGATCATTTCCCTCAGGAACTGAGAATATAGCTCCCTGCCGGAGAAGAGAGAGCAATGATTCCCGAAGGCCTTGCCCAGGGAGCCCGGACACAGGAGCAGCAACAGGAAGCAGGGCAGGCTTAGCACCACCTGTCGTGCCTGACAAGAAGGCCCTCCCGTCATCCCCTCTCTTGGGTCTCACCTCTGCTTGGCCAGGATGGAGCTCCATGAGGCTCTCTCCAAGGGGAGGTAGTTCAAGAGAATCTGCACAGAGGGAGAGGAGCAAAGCTCTGGCGACTCCCCCAGCCCAACCCTGGACAGTAGGTGGAGCCTGCCAGGCCTCAAGGAAAACGTCTGATAAAACCCAGAGAAGACAAGATGGGCTGAAACCCAGGAATCCAGGCATGGGCTAGGGGCAGCCTCCCCTTTCCTCCCCATGCCTCCCCACTCCTTTATCCTAAACTGGCCCTTTCCAGTGCCTTTCCTCACACAGATTGTTCCAAAGGATAATACCACCTTGTACTCAAAGGGGCTGGAAACCAGAATACTGGGCTTCGCTCCCCACCTCAGCTAATAGCTCTGGGCAAAGCACAGCCTTCTTTTGTCCCAATAAGCATGACTTCCACTATACTGTCTGGACCAGGGAGCAGAGGGCTTCACTGGCATTACAAAGTGTTCCATCCCCAGGGGGATCCTGGACGGGACACGAAGAGAAACAGAAAACCCAGAACTTCCCATAAAAGCTTCCTCAGACAAGCAAGGAAAGGTGCAGAACAGGAAGAAGGGGCTGGGAGTGGGGGGCAGCCCATGCAGGAACCCAGGGACTCTGAGCAGAGCAGCAGCCCCACCCCAGGCACACCCACCTTCCAGCAGAGGCACCGCAGTCCGCCCTCACAGGGGATGCCTGTGAACACAGCAGGCAAAGGTCACGCCCCGGCCAGAGTCCCAGAATCCCCCAGCCCTCCACCTCAGAGACGGTTGGCAGGGAGTGGAGTGGGCAAGAAGTACTTCTTCAAGAATCATTTTCTGCCAGAAAGATTACTTGACTAAATGTTTAATCCTGTGTGTGCTTTCTCTTGATGACCCCTGCCCCCAGCCCAGAGCTCCCTCTGTCGGGAATGTTCTTTTGAGGATAACATCTTCTCATCCTTGATATTTCTTCCTCAGAGCAGCCTTTACCAGCCACTGTCTCTTCCCAATTGAAGTCAGGTCCCTCATTATAACCGATAATGGCTCCGTGACTTCTCCTTCATAGCATCCATCTAACTGAGATTGTAAAATATAATTTGCATATTTATTTAACATCTGTAACTTCTATGACCAGGGAAGCCCCAGAAAGACCCGAACCAAATTTGCCTTATATTCTCAGTACCTAGCACAGGGCATGGCACACAGGAGGTATTCCGTAAGTATTTGTGGACACAAATATAAATGAAGCCATGAATGCTAAGTGCTTCGTGCTTTATTGACACTATTTCACTTTATCCTCATTATAACCCTGGTAAGTAGGGAAGATTAGCATCATTGTCCTTATCTTACAGACAAAGAAACTCATCTGTAATGACAGAGCAATCAAGGATTCAAACACAGGTCTGTCTGACTTTAGAGCCCAAACTCTCAATCACTACTAGAGACTGCCTCCCCTGAGGCCTGGCTGACTCTCCAGCTCAGCACAGATCCCAGGACCCCTCAAGATGGTCAGGGCCTGAATATCACTCCTGAGCAGAAAGACAACCTTCTCCCGCACTATCGTCAGGAACCTCACTAAAGCAGCTGTTGCTACAGTACCCCCAGTACTCATGCCCCCACCTCAGAATCTGCATGGGGCTGAGGGGGGTACTCAAGAATTCCCAGCTGACAAAGTTACAAGGGCAGAGCAGTGACAAAAGCACCCTGGGGTATTTTTAAAGACAAGCAAAAATCTCTGTGCTGGAAGGTTAACAATGCCAGGGAGGGCAAAGTCAAAAGTGGCTAAGGTTCAGCTTCTTCAAATCAGTGTCTCAAGACTGGAATTTTACCATTAACCAAAGTTCACTGTCGCCTGAGTCAGCTCTGACCCCAAGCCAGGGAGAGAGCCAGGAACCACTTTGCAGCTAACCAAATTCTACAGCACAGGAAGCTTGCTGATGAACGAGGAAAGACCCGACCGAGGCTCTGGAGTCTGCTCCCGGCTCTCATCCTTCTGTCTTCAGTCCCCTCCACTCACTCTCAGGAAGCAAGAAGCCTCACTGATCCGCCACTAAGCACCCTGTCCACGGCCCACAGGCATGCTAACTGTGGCCGTCACTCCTCTGGAAACCCCCTCCAAGCTCAGTGCAGTCACTGCTTGTTCAGCTCGACAGAATCTGGAGAAGGATCCAAGAGGCAGGCTGGCCCCCAGAACTGACCAGGTGTGGCCTTGGGCACCTTGCCCTCCATCCTAGTCACAACGCTGCTCTAGAAAACCCCTGAAAATGGAGCGTTGCCTCTTACCACTGAAACTGAGATCCCGAAGCTTTTCCAAGGCAATCGTGGGCTCCTTCAGGACATCCTGGAAATCTGCAATCCTGGAAGCAGGGAGGCGGAGGCAAAGGGAGCACACTCAGTGGCCAGGCGGGAAGCCCAGGGCTCCCTCACACCACCAGTCCCCAATCTGTTTCCCCCTCCCCTTCAGGACATAAAGATGGCAAAGCTCAAGGTCCTGGCAAAGGCCGCTTTGGAGAACTCTAGATCACTTCTTCCTCTAAGCCCAGAAACACAGAGACAGCCTTGTCTAGGAACTCTCAACCCAGCACCAGGAAAGCAGAAACATTCTAGTATTTGGCCAGCGGGCATTTATCTGGTGATCCCTGCCGGCCAGGCCCAGCCCACAGCGCCACTATCTGACCTCGGCGAACCCTAGGAACCGGGAGTAATTTGATGCGCAGACAACGGATCTGAGTAATCGCAAGCAGCTCTCCAGGCTCGACAGTATTACCCTGAGACGACCTCCGGGCCCGCCCGCAGGCAAGGACAAAAGGTTTAAAAAAACAATCCTGGAGAAAAACTGAAGAGTGAGCAAAATTCAGCCCGTGCTGCAGGATTTGGCCTGGGGGAGGGGACAGACTGGAGAATCCAGGTTTTCTAGCCTTTCGAGTAATAAACGGGCACCGGGCCGGACGCGCGTGGAGAGCAGGGAACTGGGGCAGAGGATTAACGGAGAGCAGGACAGGGGTGGGGGGGGGACCCCAGGGAAGGGGGAAACCCGGGGTCCAGGGTGAGGGAGCGACGGAGAAGGGGTGACACCGAGAGGCAGGCGAGGCGCCTCGGCTGTGCCGCTCAGGCCCACAGCAAAGGGGCTGGAAAGCGGGTGCCCGAGACCCTCCGCCGGGGGCTCCGGGCCCGGCCGCACCCGCGCCCCCTCCGCAGGCACAAGGGGCGGCCTGGCCAGGAGCACCTTGGCCGGCTCGGGCCCCGGCCCCTTACCGGCTCTTGTGCAGACTCGACATGGTGTTGACTTCCGGATCCCCCCGCTACCTCGGCCGACGCGGCCGCCGCCGCCCCCTAGGGACGCGGGGCGCTGGGCAAAGGCGTCCGACCGGAAACGCAGCCGCTGGCGCGGGCGTTCCGGCTCGTTCCGCTCCGCTCGCTCGGCCCGGCCCCGCCCCGCTCACGTGCCGCCCGGTCCTCCCACTGCTGGGGCGGGGCGGGGCGGGGTACGAGGGCCCCAGGAGCACGCCCCGACCCCTGCCCAACTCGCATCCCCGCGGACTCTGCAGCCCAAGTTGAGGACGCGCAAGTGATGGTGCAACCTGTGTGCCCTAGGCTATTCTTTGCGCTGCCCTGGGCCTCCGTTTCTCTTTATGCAACATACCTATAAGTCACCCTGTCCTCGCCTTAAACCTGCTTCACCTGCAATAAACTATTGCGTCATTATTTTGGGAAGGTGGACCTTCCCTGCTGAACTATCCAGGCCTCCTGGGTGGCCTTTTCACTCATGAATCCTGCACGCCTATAGCAGGCACCGCACAAAGCAGATGGTTCGGTAACTATCGGATGGAGGAGCAGGACTGCAATTCAGCGTTTCCCTGATTTTCGAATTTCATGAACATGAAATTTACCATAACATCAGAACAATAGAAAAGGCAAGTCAAGATTTCAGGAGCTTTCCCAAGAAAACTTAGTTGGCAGCCTTACAATGATTTTTCTCTACACGTATGTGTGCCTACGTGCATAGTTGTCTTTATTTTTTAATTTTTTCTACAAATCGGTGAAAACTTTGTCACTGGACTGTGTAAACTTGAAACCTCCTCCAGCTCTCAGGTGCCTGTCCACCAGGACTTCACTGGCCAATGGGGCAGGCACACAAATACCTGCTCCTTTATTCACTCATCCCACAATTTCTGCTCCCACTGTGTGCCAGGTACTGTGCTAAATGTTGCTGCAGAATACAAAGATTAAGTTCCTTTGTACGAAATACAAGAAATGAATAAATGTTGACTTACTTGCACACCAGTAAAGAAATATTATTCCAGATAAAAAGTACCATTCAGCCCTTGAAACTGCTGGTTAAGAAGACAGGGAAGGGGCCAACCCAGTGGCACAGCGGTGAAGTGGGCATGTTCTGCTTTGGTGGCCCAGGGTTTGCCAGTTCCGATCCCGGGTGCGGACATGGCACTGCTTGGCAAGCCATGCTGGGGTAGGCGTCCCACATATAAAGTAGAGGAAGATGGGTACGGATGTGAGCTCAGGGCCAGTCTTCCTCAGCAAAAAGAGGAGGATTGACAGCTGATGTTAGCTCAGGGCTAATCTTCCTCAAAAAAAAAAAAAAAGCGAAAAACACACACACATGATAGAATAAGAAACATACAGTTGGCTATCATTTGGAAAAAAACAAAGTTCTATTCCTACCTTACATCTGACAGAAAAATAAATTCTAAATGAATTAAAGCTCTACAAGGGAAAATGGGATTAGAGGAAAAATATCTAGAAAAATGTTTATAATCTTGGAGAAGGAAGACACAAGGCCCAGAAGCCATTGTGAAAATTAATAAAGGAAACCTCAACTAACATTGGAGTTGGGAAAGCCTGTAGAGGGAGCTCGCATGCCCTACCACTCATCCTCAATTACCCCAAACAGGAAGAGACTTGCCTTGCATCTCTCACAGGAAGTGGGCTACTACTTTACTTCCCCAGCAGGAGAAAGAATTTCTTCTTGCCCAGCAACAAGCCCAGCCAGTAGAAAATGCCTCAGCTCAGCCAATAAGGAGCCATAAGGAGAGTAAGGAACTCTTACTCTCCTCCAATGAGCTTTCATTTAGAAGAGTCGCTCCCAACTATCCCTTTTTCTCTACAAAAGCAAGCTCCCCTCCTTTGTTCTCTGGACTTGCCAGTGGTTCCCTATAGTTCACATGTCCCGAGTTGCAATTCTTTTGCTATTCCTGAATAAACACATTTTGCTGGTAAACTAACAAGTTATTTTATTTTAAAGTTGACATTAAATGGTGTCAGAAAGTGGGATCCATGGAGGTGACCCCTTGAGAGACAATGACCCCTGAAATGGAGTGAGGTACCCACAGTGAGTCCCTTGTGCTCATTGCGTCTGTGAGTTGCTGCTTACTGTCAGTTTGGTAAGACGCCTCTCAGATTCTGAGCTCCACTGTCCTTGCATTTTGAGCTCTCCGACTTGACGTGGGATGGTGAAAGGCTTTGTCCTTTCTAGTTCAAGGCTTCCTCCTTGGTGAGTACTGGATTAGTTTCCTTTTGGAAGTGTGCTGAAACTTTGGTAAGGTTCCTTTTGGAATTGGGCTAGCTAGGAATTTTCTTTTTCCCTCGGGAAAATTTGAGAAATGGGATACCAGTCCTCTAAATGCTCAGTTCTCCTTCAGGGCCCCTGGCTGGTTTTCTGTTTGAAAACTATGGACCCTCCTCATGCACAGTTTTAATTAAACAGACCAATTTAATAAAAAATTACTTAAAACACCAATCTCCCCAAAGTTGCATTTCTCTGCACTAAATTAGAAAGCCACTGCTCTAAAATCAAACAGATTGAATGGGATGCCTATTTTAATTGGTACCTTGAGGCCTCCAAACGTATTTAGGACTCTAAAATTGCCTCTCAGCAAAAACCCATATCTAAATTAACTGAGACAACCAACTCAAGGCAAACAAAATGGCTTCTGAAGCCTGGCGTTTCCCTCCCTCTGGCTCCTTTATCTCAGGCTCCACCCCCGATACCATCTTACTCTGTTCCCTGGACTGAAGCTGAATTGCAAGCCGTACTTAAGGATTTTCCATAAGCAACTGAAGACCCCCATACATTTGCTGATGAATTTAATGTAATTATTCAGACCTACCAGCCAGGGTCTTCGGATTCATATCAACTAATCCACAGGCTTGTTGGTGAAGGTCTTGCCCAACATTGGACGAAACTGGCCCTACAGGAACATCCTGAAAGGGATTTCGAAAAATGAACCACTAACTTTTGGAAAGATGCTAGAACATTCACTGGAAATCTCCACTGAAAATCACAATAGCTTTGCCCAAGCCTTCAGGCTTGCATACAAAAGCCTGATGAGCCTGTTCATGGCTGTTATAATTGGCTGCAGATCACTTTTAAAGAAAATTCTGGCCTTCCCACGGATGTTAAATCCACTCGGGTAGCCTTTAATTCTGTTTGTTTTTTTGTTTATTTATTTTGAAGATTGGCCCTGAGCTAACATCTGTTACCAATCTTCCTCATTTTTTTTTTTCTCCTGAAAGCCCCCAGCGCATAGTTGTATATCCCAGTTGCAGGTTCTTCCAGCTCCTGCACGTGAGACGCCGCCCCCCAAGGCCCCACAAGCGGTACCAGGTCCGCGCCCAGGATCCAAACCGGCAAAAGCCTGGGCCACCAAAGCAGAGCGCGCGAACTTAAACACTCGGCCACGGGGCCAGCGCCTAATTCTGTTTATTGATGGGCTGAACCAGGAGCTTTCTCTTCTAGTAAGAAGGACCAGGATGGAATGGGAGACTCTCCACTCCAGATTTAGTCAATCTAGCAAATCAGCTCTCCCACACCCTAGATGATTCAACTAAAAGGAGGACCACAAAAACTCAATTTTCAACTTCAACAGATGGAGGCCCCTAGACAGAACCAGAAATATTCTGGTCTCTGCTATTATTGTAAAAAGCCAGGGCATCTGAAGAGAGACTGCGTTGAGCATAAGCTCTCTGAAGGTTCTCAACCCTCTAACCACCCTTTCCAGGGCCTTCCTAATCCCCAATGACAAGGCTCTGAGGAACCACAGGGGCGTTTCCCAACCTTTCCCCTTAATCCACTTGGGGAAACCACCCTCCAGGTTGGAAATGAGTCATTCCCTGTACTTACTGACACTGGAACAACGCTCTGCTGCTGAGCCCCACGGCCACCGCACGGCACCCGCTTCGGAGCACCGAAACAGTTCAGGTAGTGGGGGTCTCCAACGAACCTCAGCAGTCTCTGTCTCCAAACCCGTTCCCTTTTGTTTAGGCCTTTTGAGAGATATTCACCCTTTTCACCTTTGTTCCTCTGCTCCTGTTCATTTATTGGGCTGAGATTTCTTAAGAAAAATATCCTGCCGTAATTTCTTTCTCCCAAAAGAGGAAATAATTCTAGAAATTGACAGCAGCATCCAAAATGGTCAACTAGGTGAATTAAGTGACCCTTCAGCATCTTTTATTTGCTCTGTCTCTGACGACATTAAAGGTAATTCCAAGGACACTAGTCATTTGTCCCTATTAGATCAGCCACCACCCTCTTTATGGGCAAAGTCTGCAACCGAGATTGGCAGAACCCACAGTGCGGCTCCTGGTCAGTTCCAAATAGATCCCTCAAAGCCTCCTCCCAGAATTAATCAATATCCTGTAAACAAAGAGGCCCTCCAGGGCATCAAGCCATAATAGAGAACCGGGCCTTACTGCTTCTTGTCCCCTGTACTCTTCCCTGTGATACTTCTATCTTACCCCTAAAAAACCCCCAATGGCTAAAGATGGAAGTTTGTCCAGGACCGCCGAGCAATAAATAACATCGTCATCCCTCGGCACCCATTTGGCACCCAGTTGTTCTAACCTGTGTATGCTGCTGGCCTCCATTCCAACTGAGGGAAAATTCTTTCCTGTATCTGATTATGCAGTGCATTCTTTAGTATTCCAGTTGATGAAGCTAGCCAACAGCTTTTTGCCTTCACTTGGGAAGGAAAAAAAATCACCTGGATAGTAATTCTCGGGGTTTTACTAAAGGTCCTTCTTATTTCTCAGAAATCCCCAATGCTGATCTGCACGGTATAAAGTCTCCTCGAGACTCTGCTTTGTTGCAACATGTGGAGGACGTGCTTCTTTGCTCTCCCTCCCAGGCCTTCTCCCAGGAAGACAACATCTGCTTGCTAAAGCTTTTAGCCTTAAAAGGACACAAGGTCACTAAGGAAAAAGTGCAGTTTGTCCAAACCCAGCTTCAGTATTCAGAGCATCTGATAGGGAAATAAGGCCCACACCTAGATCCAGACAAGCCTGATAGTGTCCTGAGTTTCCTCGAACCCAAAACTGAACGTCAACTGGGAGGTTTTCTCCGGATAGTTGGCTGTTGTCAAAGCTGGATTCCGAGTTTCTCTCTGTTGGCCAAACCT